GGCGAGCGGCTTGTGTGGTGGAGCTCGGAGGCCGAGACTGGGAAGAGCTAGAGCGCCCGCGCCGAGGAAGACGACGGGTAGAGGGGAGTGAACGGCGGAGTGTTGGCTCTTCCTTTTTTTCTGTGGGCTTGACACGGCCTGTGGATGACGGGTGGGCCCATCCTTGCCTACAACGTGCGTCACGTGTAGTGCTGGCCGCTGCTCATTGGTCAAGCGTCGCTGCGGGTCCACGGGAACCGCTGTAGTTTATGTACCCATGTGCCGTGTAGGATTGGGGGTTCGCGTCACTGGCTCTTGGGCTCCACTGTTGGAAATATGGGCCGATGGTACTCGTTGGCACATTGGCCTAGCTTAAAATTTCGAGGCCGATGGCTTGGTTTAAAAAGCTTGGGCGAAGAATTGGATCTTTGCTCTACACGAAACCTTATACAAAGCGATGAGTTCGTCCGCATGGTTGGTTACCTATGAGCGATCCGAGGTGCGATAAGGAAGGCAATTCACGAGGACATATTTCAGAGTCCGCACTCTATCCACGGATCCATCACATCCTATATTTTTTTGAGCATATAACTTTGTTTATCAAATGATAGCCAAGTCGTTTACAAAGAGATGAAGAATAAAGTCAGGGATGTTTTTCCATACTTCAGACTTTTTCATGCTAATATAATGCTTTGCTAGAGCATTCGCTACTGTGTTCGCCTCTCTACTGCAGTGATCAAAGGAAATATGAGCAAATTCCATTGTCATTAGGGAGCACTCTGCTATAATAGACACTGCTGGTCCCATATATGCATTAGGGTTTGAAACTGCCTCCAGCGCCCTTGTGCTATCAGATTCTATCACCAGCTTTGTGCAGCCTAAATTTGCAACTAGATTCAGTCCACACCGGGGTAGTAGCTTAGAGGCTGCACCTAAGAACTGTCCTTGATCATTGCGTGCTATTGCTCCACAAGCACCTGAGAGATTATCCGCAATAAAGGATGCATCAACATTTATTTTAATCATCCCCACTTCCGGTTTCTTCCAAACCTGATCACTCTTCCGAACAGCCTGTTTTGGAGTATTTACTCGTACAAAATTAGTGGCTAGAACCTGTATTGACATAGCCGCTTGTTCTGTCGTCTGGGTAGTTTCCCCCTTGGTATACAATCTCCTCTGCCACCAGATGAACCACATGGCCACCAATATGAATTCGGGTGCTGGGATGTTACTCACCGTCTCATGTACCTGGAGCAAGGAGTCAAGGTTTATCGAGCCCGAGCGGTCCTGAGTGATCACCCTGTCAATCTCGGTCGCTAACCCCAGCTTTTCCCATATAACATATGCTCGAGAGCACGTGAACAGGCAATGTTGGATGTCCTCCAATCCGATATTACAAAGCGGGCATTGTGGCAGTAAAGGTATGTGCCGACTGGCCAACACCCCATAGCAAGGCAAAACTCCCTTCAGCACTTTCCAACCAAAATGTTTAACTTTCCCTGGTAGCCTTAATTTCCATAAATCTTTCCAAACCCCATGCTCGTTAGCACTGCCTTGGCTGTTTCGGTTAAAGTATCGTCCAAACTGGTTCTCAAACTCAACATGATATGCCGATCTCACTGAAAATGTTCCCGACCTTGTGTGGTTCCAAGCTACAAGATCTTCCACTACTTCCACATTAAGCTGAATTTGCAGTATTCTATTTGCATCGACTGGCGAGAACACTTGCCGAATGAGGTCCTCATCCCAGTATCCTGTATGAGGATCAATTATTTCCTCTACTCTTGTCAACATGATGCCACCTCTAGGTGTGATCAACTTCCTAGTTGCACTTGAAGGGATCCAAGGGTCATCCCATAAATTGATATGTGAACCAGATCCTACCCGCCAGATACATCCCCTCTTAAAAGTTTTAATTCCCTCAACAATGCTTTGCCAGGTAAACGAAGCTCCTTTCTTTGGACCAGCTTTCAATATATCTCCACCGGGATAATATTTTGCGCTCAACACTCTTGCACACAGCGAATCAGGGTTTTGGATTAGACGCCAACACTGCTTTACTAACATAGCAAGATTAAAGCTGTGAAGGTCTCTAAATCCCATACCACCCCTTTTCTTTGGTACACACATTTTCCACCACGCAAACCAATGCATTTTCCTCTTCTCCTCTCCATCTCCCACCAAAAACCGGATATTTCATCGGTAATTGACTTACAGATTCCTTTCGGCAGCTTGAACACAGACATAGCATATGATGGGATTGCTAGCGCTACTGCCTTAATCAGAATCTCCAGCACATCCTATTTGGTAGAGCGCCAAGTTATTCACAATCAAAGTGCCCATAATACTGGTCGATGTGGCCCCAAGACAAACACATTGGCTGGCTTCGGAGGCGGATTGTGCAAAGATAAATGTTGATGTGGCCTCAGACTGCAAGTGGGAGTATGCATGGGACTCCCACCTTTAGCCCACTTGATCCCACTACGTTTGGTAGGAATAACCGGTCATCACGTCACAACTTGCGCAAATTATGTGGGCACAAGTGGAATCTCATCCCACTTACTAGCAAATGCACTCACGATGAAGATGGGCCAGAACGCGTACAAACACGACGGCCAGTAGCTTGCGGGACATAGCAATGGAAGAGGAGATGACCGTTGGAGCGGGACACGCCGACAGCTTGGCGGATACTGCAACGGCGCCCTCCCCTGGACTGCCGTCAGTGAGGGTGAGGCGGAAGCCTCGGGACGGTCGTCGCCGATTCACGGGAGCCGGTTCTGGGCCCTGTCGGAGCTGGCGATGGAGGACTCGGTCGGCGAGATGGTCTCCTTCCAGGGAAGACGCTTAATCGAGAGGTGGAGAGTGGAGATGGAGGCGTGGCTGGAATGCAGGGGTCCCCACGGGTCGGTGCCGTCGGAGGTGATGAACTGCGAGGTACCTCGGTCGCCTCTGGTGGCGCATGACACGCGTAGGGGTGCGACTGCGCCGACGAGCTGTTGTAGGTTGGAGGTGCAGAAGGAGGAGCCGACCAATCTTGATGTGCGAGCAGTGATGAACTCGCCGGGTGCGACGGCGCGGGCGCGTCGGGTTCAGGTGCGGTGGAGTTGCCCAGTGCAGGGGGCGGTGAGCTCTGGCTCGCAGGGTGCAGTTGCGTGAACAGGAGGAGAAAATTGTGCCTCGTCGCCCAGCTGCAGGCGGCGGTCGTCCCCGTGTGCACGGTTCAGGTGCCGGTGCGGCCATTTGCGCTCATCCAGGTGACCAGCGTTGGCGGGATGCCGGCATGCAGTCATTGAAAGGCATCTCCTCATGGCTTTCGACACCGCCTCTGTCACTCGCGATGATGCCCCAAGGGAAGGGAAGGGGCTGGTGGGTGCGGTGGGATCCCAATGGGTTAATAGGGCTAGCCCACTTAATGTTTTTCCGTCTAATGGGATCCCACTAAAGCAATTTAGGTGGGATGGGCTGGTTAGTCCCATTTAATTCCACTCTCATCTGCAGCCTGAATGTGGCCATATCACGTAATAATGGTTTCAGAATGGTCGGAACGATGTGTTGAAGGTAAATGTTGATGCGGCCATATCACATAATGATGGTTTCAGAGTGGTGGGAGCTATGCGTAGAGATAGCACTGGAGCTTTGGGTGCTTCCACAAATTTTTCACGGCAAAATCAGACCCAACTACACTTTGATGCGTTGGCAGTCAGAAAAGCCATGGCTCTTTTGGAGGATATTTATATCCAGCGAATCCACGTTGCCTCGGATTGTAAGATGGTGGTCTATGACATTAAACTGGGTATTTCGGCGATATATGGAGCGATCATCCATAAAATCAGAGAATACTCTTCAGTGCTTAATTTTTATAACATAGTTCATGAGTTTTCAAGCTCAAATTTCGAAGCTCGCAATTTAGCGAAGCACACTCTTTCTTTAGGGGTTGGCTTCCATGTGTGGTTGTGTCAGTGCAATAATCATCATTTTGTCTCTCTAAACATCGTGATGAATTAAATATAGGCTTCGCGAGTTTGTCTAGTTTTTTTATGGTTGGATGGTTAGATCATCTACATCCAGGCCCTTCAAATTCCCCTTATACGAGCGGACGGGTCGGTCGGTAATGGGTTGTGAAAACGTGGTCCAACCGGTCCCCTCAAACCGGCGCTATATGTCCAGCTCGTCTGGCACCCCTCAAACCCGGCCCATATCTGGGGGCAAAATGGGGAGGTCCGGGCGCATCCGTCACGTCAGACCTGAGAGATCGGATCCACAACCAAATCTCTCAAAATCATTCCCAATGTAGCCCTACCACCCTTCTTTCTCTCATCTCTTCTGGCTTTCTTGCAACGACCCTCCCCTAGTGTCGTCACCAACCTAGTTCCACCATCGTCCCAACCCCACAACGCCTCCACCACTAGCACAAACCCCTCCCACCATCTCCACCGCTCTGACATTATTGCAGTACGTACTGCTCCTCCGGTCATACACTTTGCCCTCTATGTGTTCGACAGAATTCCAAGATTTTTTTATTCTTTTGTAGGTATTATGATGGATTCTTCGGATTCATTGATGATGAGTTTCAGAACAATGAGCTTGATGAATTCATCCAACAAAGAGTTCATCGATTCGTTGGTTTACACCATTCAGTGATGC